ATTTCTATTACAGCTGCTGCTGCTGCTGGTGCAGCTGACCCTTCAAAAGGCGGTTTCCGGCAAGGAAACCCCATGCTACTGAGAGGCGACAGCGACTGCTGCTGCTGTGCCCACAAAGACACGGCTCTGCCGGACGAGGAAACACCATGGCCCTGAAGGACGAACGGAGTCCAAAATATACGTTTCCCGAGGCCAGAACGTCCCTTCTGAAATCTCCTACAAAAAGCTTGCTAAACGTTTCTCGATGCTGGCTACTGGCTCGCTGCTAGCTGCTGCACTGCTGCCGTTGCGCTTACTGGTACTGATTGCTCTTACTGCTACTGATGCTGCTGGAACCCTAGAAAAAAAAATCTATTGGAGCTGCTGCTGTGCCCACAAAGACACGGCCCTGCCGGACGGGGAAACACCATGGCCCTGAAGGACGAACGGAGCCTTGCCGGACGGGGAAACACCATGGCCCTGAAGGACGAACGGAGTCCAAAATATGCGTTTCCCGAGGCCGGAACGTCCCTTCTGAAATCTCCTACAAAAAGCTTGCTATACGTTTACGTTTTACGTTTCTCATACGTTTCTCAATGCTGGCTACTGGCTCGCTGCTAGCTGCTGCACTGCTGCCGTTGCTCTTACTGCTACTGATGCTGCTGGAACCCTAGAAAAAAATCTATTACAGCTGCTGCTGCTGCTGCTGCTGGTGCAGCTGACCCTTCAAAAGGCGGTTTCCGGCAAGGAAACCCCATGCTACTGAGTCGCTGCTGCTGTGCCCACAAAGGCACAGCCCTGCCGGACGGGGAAACACCATGGCCCTGAAGGACGAACGGAGTCCAAAATATGCGTTTCCCGAGGCCGGAACGTCCCTTCTGAAATCTCCTACAAATATTATAGTAGTAGTAGCAAGCTGCTGGCTCGCTGCTAGCTGCTGCACTCCTGCCGTTGCGCTTACTGCTGCTGCGTCTGCTTGTGTCTGCTGCTGCCTACTGATGCCTGCTGCTGCCTGCTGCTGCCTGCTGCTGCCTGCTGCTGCCTGCGGCTGCCTGCTGCCTGCTGCTGGTGCTGCTACTGGTGGCTGCTGCTGCTGTGGTGCTGCTGTCGTGCTGCTGCAATCAAACAGCTTCCAAAGCAAGAAACAACTGCTGCTGCTGCTGCTGCTGCTGTGCCCACAAAGACACGGCCCTGCCGGACGGGGAAACACCATGGCCCTGAAGGACGAACGGAGTCCAAAATATGCGTTTCCCGAGGCCGGAACGTCCCTTCTGAAATCTCCTAAAAAAAGCTTGTCTCCTAGAATGTCTCCTAGAATCCTACTCCTAGAATCCTAGAAAAAGCTTGCTATACGTTTCTCGATGCTGGCTACTGGCTCGCTGCTAGCTGCTGCACTGCTGCCGTTGCGCTTACTGGTACTGATTCCTCTTACTGCTACTGATGCTGCTGGAACCCTAGAAAAAAAATCTATTGGAGCTGCTGCTGTGCCCACAAAGACACGGCCCTGCCGGACGGAGAAACACCATGGCCCTGAAGGACGAACGGAGTCCAAAATATGCGTTTCCCGAGGCCGGAACGTCCCTTCTGAAATCTCCTAAAAAAAGCTTGTCTCCTACGCCTAGAATCCTATCCTAGAAAAAGCTTGCTATACGTTTCTCGATGCTGGCTGCTGGCTCGCTGCTAGCTGCTGCACTGCTGCCGTTGCTCTTACTGCTACTGATGCTGCTGGAACCCTAGAAAAAAAATCTATTGGAGCTGCTGCTGTGCCCGCAAAGACACGGCCCTGCCGGACGGGGAAACACCATGGCCCTGAAGGACGAACGGAGTCCAAAATATGCGTTTCCCGAGGCCGGAACGTCCCTTCTGAAATCTCGTACAAAAAGCTTGCTATACGTTTCTCGTACGTTTCTCAATGCTGGCTACTGGCTCGCTGCTAGCTGCTGCACTGCTGCCGTTGCTCTTACTGCTACTGATGCTGCTGGAACCCCAGAAAAAAAAATTATTACAGCTGCTGCTGCTGCTGCTGCTGCTGCTGGTGCAGCTGACCCTTCAAAAGGCGGTTTCCGGCAAGGAAACTCCATGCTACTGAGAGGCGACAGCGACTGCTGCTGCTGTGCCCACAAAGGCACAGCCCTGCCGGACGGGGAAACACCATGGCCCTGAAGGACGAACGGAGTCCAAAATATGCGTTTCCCGACGCCGGAACGTCCCTTCTGAAATCTCCTACAAATAGCAAGCTGCTGGCTTGCTGCTAGCTGCTGCACTGCTGCCGTTGCTCTTACTGCTACTGATGCTGCTGGAACCCTAGAGAAAAATTCTATTAGAGCTGCTGCTGCTGCTGCTGCTGCTGCTGGTGCAGCTGACCCTTCAAAAAGACGGTTTCCGGCAAGGAAACCCCATGCTACTGAGAGGCGACAGCGACTGCTGCTGCTGTGCCCACAAAGACACAGCCCTGCCGGACGGGGAAACACCATGGCCCTGAAGGACGAACGGAGTCCAAAATATGCGTTTCCCGAGGCCGGAACGTCCCTTCTGAAATCTCGTACAAAAAGCTTGCTATACGTTTCTCGAGGCTGGCTGCTAGCTCGCTGCTAGCTGCTGCACTGCTGCCGTTGCGCTTACTGCTGCTGCGTCTGCTTATGTCTGCTGCTGCCTACTGATGCCTGCTGCTGCCTGCTGCTGCCTGCTGCCTGGTGCTGCTGCTGGTGGCTGCTGCTGCTGTGGTGCTGCTGTCGTGCTGCTGCAATCAAAGTGCTTCCAAAGCAAGAAACAACTGCTGCTGCTGCTGCTGCTGCTGCTGCTGCTGCCGCTGCCCTTTTGCGTGCTCTTGCCCATGTTCTTGACAGCCATTGGTGCCATATAAATGAGAAAACTGCCAAACGTGACATCTGAAACCCTATAGAAATATATACAAGATATATAGAAGTGCCTAACGTGTCGTCTGGCATCTTAGAAAAACACAATTTTTCGACAGATTCTGTTGCTGGCGGCTGCTAGCAGTAAAACAGTTTCGAAAAAATCACCTCCCGGGGGGAAAACACCAGGGCTCTGAAGGACGAGCGAGTGCCAGAACCACGCCAAAAAAGTGCCTAACGTGTCGTCTGAAATCCTAGAAAAATCTAGATTTTTAGTAGGCTGCTGGCTACTGGCTGCTGGCTGCTACTGGCGCAGGCTGCTGCTGCTGTGGTGCTGCTGTCGTGCTGCTGCAATCAAACTGCTTCCAAAGCAAGAAACAACTGCTGCTGCTGCTGCTGCTGCCCTTTTGCGTGCTCTTGCCCATGTTCTTGACACCCATTGGTACCATACAAATGAAAAAACTGCCAACTGCTGCTGCTGCTGCTGCTGCCCTTTTGCGTGCTCTTGCCCATGTTCTTGACACCCATGGCTGCTACTGGCGCAGGCTGCTAGCTACTGGCTATGTACACCTTTTGCGTGCTCTTGCCCACGTTCTTGACACCCATTAGTGCCATCCTAAGTGGTACTGGTCCGAAACCAGGGTCAAAAGTATTATTCCCTGGCGCGCTCCCCCTTGCGTCTGCCGGGGTCGGCGGATATATTATGATAGAAGTATATTGACTAGTGTATTGATGTACGTTTTGTTCGAAACATGTCCTAAGCCCATCCAATTTCAACAGAATTTCAGGACCCAGCCTTGATGCCATCTACACCTTCGATGCCAAAGAGATGGCCAGACTCAGTGCCTTGGAGATGGCGATGGCTTGCGATGGCGAGCGATGGCTGGGAGAAGGTCAGATTTTCTGGCTGTAAATGATACATATGTAAGGTCAGATGATGTCATGAGAGGTGCGGTTATTTCGTCAAGAAGAAGAAGAAGAAGAAGAAGAAGAAGAAATGATACATATAATATATTTTCTAAATGAATTTTAGTGTATATATAAAAGGGCTAACGCCCTGGTGCCGCCGAGGGGGGGGAGTCCAGCTGCTCCTTAGTTTTGACATGGTGGGATCCAAGGGGTGCAGGGCATAACAGGAGTATCAGAGCTACTCATCCTTTTGCAGTCTCGAAACCCAGTAAAGATACATGACTAGGCAGCTTGGAAGGCTGGAGTGAGGCAAGGAGGCCCTATCAGGCCAAAGAAGGTGAGGCAAGAGCTGGAGGTTTTAAGGCTTTTAAGGCTTTTAATGCTTTTCAAGGCTGGGCCTAGTAGAACCAAAAGTGCCAGACGGCAGTCTCGAAACCCAGTAAAGATACATGATCAGGCAGCTTAGAATGCTGGAGTGAGACAAGGAGTCCTCAGCAGGCCAAAGAAAATGAGGCAACACCTGGGCCTAGTAGAACCAAAACTGGCGTTTTGAGGGTTTTCAAGTTTTAAGGCTTTTCGAGGCTGGCCTAGTAGAACCAAAAGTGCCAGACGGCAGTTTCGAAACTTCTTAAAGAGACATGACCAGGCAGCGTGGAAAGCTGGAGTGACGCAAGGAGGTCCTAGCAGGACAAAGCCGCACACCTGCGGTGATCCCGGGCGCCGCCCCGCTTAGGCCAAAGCTAGGCAGGGGTCGGCCGATAGATAGATTAGATTAGATTAGATTAGGATAGATAGATAGATAGATCGATAGATAGATCGATCGATAGATCGATCGATAGATAGATAGATGGATAGATGGATGAGATGGATAGATAGATGGATGGATGGATAGATAGATTAGACTAGATTAGATTAGATCAGATTAGATCAGATTAGAGTAGGTTAGACTACTGTAGATGATTAGAGTAGGTTAGATTAGATGAGATTAGGATAGATAGCTAGATAGATAGATAGATAAATAGGTAGATAGGTAGGTAGGTAGATAGGTAGATAGGTAGATAGGTAGATAGATAATATACTTCACAACCGAACATGTTTGAAAATAAATCCAGCTTTGAAACGTGTTTTGATGACAGTTCCCAGATTCCATGCATGTTCTTACCACAAATATTTGAAAGGACATATTGAGCAGCTCTACAAAAGCCTTGAACGCACTTGTGGTTGGGACCAAAAGGCATTTGCATGGCCTCAATTCAGGTATGCGAAATGCAGTGAATTTTGTCTTCATCGATGATGATGACGAAGAAGAGGACCTCTTAAGAATGTGCGATCAAGAACTCTTATTGAGTGCATGATTCGGGATGCGGAAATGATGATCGCACCGTCACATCCCATCGTGTCAATGTCTATTAGTTCGGCTATGAAGATCTATGAAGAGATGTAACGAGATATGTGACGTATTGAGATGTGACAATTACAACAATACTCAGCACCAGGATGGATGTACCGATGGCATCGAAGAGGTCTTCAGCTTTGATTTGGAGAAAGTGGCTGAGGCGGGGAATCATCACTTTACCATCGGTTCTTCCAATTTCCGGATTTGACAATTTGAAATGTGATAGAATTTGATGACTTAACATGTTTTTCCATTTTTCCAGAGGAAACTGAAATGACAGATGCGGCAAAACCTTGCAGAAGACCTCAGCACTGAGGCCTTGCGCCGTGGTGCTGATCAGTGCCTTGGAGACCCGTGGGACATGTGGCAGGGGAAATCTGTTCACAACCATTGCCGACATCTTTAGTTTCTTCGGTTTCTTCATATATCCAGAGGATCCAGAGTGTTCCAGATGCCAACGCAGTAAACACAGACCGCATGTGGCGAAAACTTTGCCAAGGGATGAACTCAGTCACATCATTGAGGAAGTCTGGGACCTCAGCACATTTCGGCACGCTGGGTTGGCTTCATGGAATGTGCAGCTGACACAGGTCAGGAGATCTCTTTCTCTCTCTCTCTCTCTCTCAAGTTTCACTTCATTTTGGCAGTGGCCACCCCCGGCCCAAGTCATGTTTGAAGTTCTTTGATTTTTTGAATTTACTACTGCATGTTTATTGTTGTTCATATTCAGAGCTTGGGTCTAGCCTAGCGTTCATCTGTTTCGGCGGCAGACTGGAACTTCCGTATGGCTGTGAGGATCACCTTTCTTCATCTTGATCTTGTCTTATGTTGAAAGCAGATCTATGATTTTCTTGCAAGGCCATGATCCAAGATCTTCCTCAACGAATTGCAACTGGATCCGGTGAGGCCGGTGTCCTTCAGGTGGATCAAATCACTCCGACCAAACTTTCAGGCGGACAAAGAGACCATTGATAGATATTGATAGCACATGAGAGCACGATTTTCTTTGCAGCCGACCTTGTGTCCCTAAATTGTCCCTAAATTATCCGACAGGAGTTTCTTCCTGCTGCTTTTTTATGACACTGTCCTTTGTCTACAGTATAGTGTAAAAGATGGTATTCACCCAAAATGGATGTAAAATGATGTAAAAAATTGTAAAGATACTATATGGAGCAGCCGAATTACCTTGACATAACATGGGCCATCGAGTTTCACCTGAAAGTTTCCTAGAATGCAGAATGCCACGAATTGCCACGAGAATGTGTGGTTTCCACAACATGCCATGGATTGCCAAGCCAGAGGCACGACATGAAGAGACTTCATCTACAGTGACTCCTCGCACAGGCCAGGTGGTTCAACAACTGTGTTTCGGAAGAATGCCGGCCGGTGTGCACCTACCGCACCTGCTGATTTTGGAGTCTGCTTGTCCAACACACATTTTGTCCAACATTGTGCAGCTCAAGGTGACCTCTCAGCACTGATGACACCTCCATGCGAAGCACCTGAGGAAGGCCGGTTTGCGGGCACGCCAACGGTGCAGACCGACGTGAAATCAAACATGACATCATGTGGCATCATGTGACATCAATGATCATGAAGGATTCCAACTGAACTTTTGTTCTTTTCGCTTTACAATCTTTACGCACCGCCTTTTAGCTTTGGCATGTCAGATGGCCATATATTGCCAATTATATTGCCCTCAAGTTGTTGAAGCCGACACATCTCAGGTCCTGTTTCACCACAGTTTGGTGGAGGAACTTCTTCGTTCCGAGGGTTGTGGGGAGTGCACCGCAGCTGTTATGCGGGCTTGTCATGCGACCGTCATGCAGCAACCTGGCAAAGGGAGAGGAAACAGATCTCAACAGACAAACAAACTCAATGTTCGACGCATTCCTGAATGGTTAGGGGCGGGAGATGGCAGAAATATGGGGACATCACGCATTTCACCTGTAGAAGTTGACATCCCGCAGGAGCTGTGAGCAGCACCGACTTGGCAGCAAGGCTTCAGAAAATTGGAGGCGACACTGCCAAGCGCTAGTGGAGGGGTTGGATGCGGTTGGAAGGACGGGATTTACTCCATGCCCTCCGCGTCGAGTCAAAGCCACAGTTTTCTCATTGCATCAAACCATATCAAACCACACATGGACTTGTAGCAAAAGATCAACAACAAGAATCAACAAGCCGTGCAACTGGGTGGATGACAGGCGGAGCTTGCTCAAGTCGACGGTAGTAGCCTCTGTTTCCAAAGATATCCAAAGATGGATGATGGGATGAGGACCAGTAACTCAGTATGGACCAGACACGATTTGATGGCTCCAACCCAAATGCAGTGGGTTGACCGAGGCGCCGCTCCAGCATTGCGCAGCATCCCCAACTGATGGAGGCATGGCAATGGAATACAGTGGAATGCACTGCTGAAGTGCAGTGCGTGCTAAAGCATCCCACACTGATGACATGTGGATACATATGGTTTGGCAACTTCAAGCAAAGCACGGGGAAGCACTATTTTTATCTATTTTTCCTGTCTACAAAAAGGTTGTTGCATGTTTTTGTTGAAATTCTTTCCAAGGCACTGGACAACAACTTCCAGACACATTTCGCAGTTGCGAAGCATAGTGCCTCAAAAACAATGACATATTATGACATATTATGACATATGGACTAATATTTTGACATATTTTGATATCTCTGAACATCTCTGAACTCCCTGGACCGCCCGGACCACAGGCGGTGAGCACAGCGCAATCTCGGCATCGACAGAGTCTGGCAAAGGCGAGACATGGCGAGACATGGCGAGACACATTTGGCAATGCCGAACGAATCTTCACAAAATGTGAATGCGGCAGTTTATAGATTTCTAAAATGATTTCTTAGTCCATTGTGGATGTTATCAGATAGCATAAGATAGCCCAACATCCAAAAGGACTTGTCATGTGCATGTTATTCAATCATATTCAGTCTCTAAAAGGACATGTGCCGTCAGACCTGAGCACTCACAGTTTCACATGTCTAAAGGTGGTTGTGATGAGACTAGTGTGGATATGTCTGGAGATGCGTGGCATCTGGAGGTGGTGGAGACAGAGCTTCGAGAGGCACGACATGCTGTCCAGTGAGAGCTGCTTATTTGGCTTTTGCAGCTGCTGTTGCTGTCATTCCCTAACATATCTAAACAACGTAATATCTATAGAAAAATATAGATATACAAGCAATATATTATATATATGCTGAAATTACTCGCATAACTCCTCACCCCTGGCATGTGTGTCTATATGTTGTACCCATTGACTCTACAGTGTACACAATGTCATGGAGTGTCAACATGGAATAGATGACTCAATACGTTATCTAACAAAGATAGCATGTTCTTTTATCCTGAAATCCGGGGTAAAACATTTACCTACTTGGCCAACGACGTTTGGCTCAAGGTGCCTGCAAAAAGGCGTTGTTAGCTTTGCTTTCACTGGTTGACGTCACTTATAATCTGCACCCGCACCCATTGCAAGCGTATTCGATACAATCCAATCTGGTATAATTCCTGCGATCACTGAGTTGTACCGGTATTCAAGTATATATATACATACATACTGCATATATAATTTCTATATACTGTATACGTATAATTATATATGTCAATTTATATATAATATATTACGTGTGTTCTTTTTTCCCATGGCCATATTTAGCGCAGGCGAGGCGGAGATCCCTCGCTACCCCGCTTCGACAGCGCGAGTCCAGGTTTTAGATTTCAGGCATTTCAGGAGGATCGTGTTATTCGTGTTGTACATAAGTTGCAGTAGCGTTCTGGTCCTTGTTTCTACTAGTGACTGGATTCTTGATGGATCTTGTATGGGGAGAAGGTAGGCATCATTAGACCATCAGAAAACAATATTGAAATTATTTCATTAAACGTGCTTGGGATGGACAAGCAATGGGTTTCAATCTCCGAGTTTCCTTATAAATCTTATAAGTATTCTATAAGTGATATTTTGTAGCTGTTGCTGATGTTGCTGTGATGTTGCCGTTGCCATGTAGGGATGGAAGTGTCACCAGATCGCCTTGATCGCCTTGGCGGCCAAGGTGCTGCTCTCCTCCAGAGGATTCCGCGCCAAATCCAACTGGCCAAACATGGGACATCTCACAGTTCCCCAATATCCCAAGTTGCCAAGTATCCCATCCAAATATCTCACAGTTCGCAACATGTCACTGCCCATTCCGGAATGTTTCGAAACAAAGCACGCTTTCATTGCACCCCATTGATGAGCTGAGGATTTCAACATGTAACGAGAGGAACACATATTTTCATATGTTTTCAGATTTTTCAGACGTTCCAAAAAGTGCATGTAACATTTTGACGTCATTCTGGTGGAGATCGAAGCTGGCCGTCGACACGAGCGCTTGGCGGACAGGAAGAATCTTTGCGCCGTCCATCTCTTGCAGCTCAGGCTTTGGGGTTCAGTCTGATCTGTCGGAAACATCAGACATCATCAGACTTCTGACATTTTGATGACACTGTGATTACATTTGTGAAATTAATCACATCTTAAGATCAAACCTTGATAGTTGTTTTTCCTTGGAAAACACAGATTCAACACAGATTCAACATGTGATGCAGACAGAATACATCAACAGCTGCGACAGAATCAAAAGTCTTCCAGTATCTTCCAGTTCAAAAATGCCGATTCCGAGGAAGGTAAAGACATCGAACACATTCCATTTCGGCTCAAGATGGGGGAGGATCAACGGATCAAAACGCCGGCCCGGCTCGGATCAGTTAGGGTGTGTCCATGGCAATCAGGAACTTGTTTGCCCAACGGTCTGTCACCGGAGCGCCGGAAGAATTTGACGAAAGATGGAGAATCATTTCCGGTTGGTGTTGTATTGCAGCCCTACCATTCAGCAGAGTTGGCCCATGCAATTCTCGATATTTTGATGTCTGAAGTGCTTGGTTACAACCTGCAGTACTCCCCACACGTTCCAGCCTCATCCATTGAAGTGATGTATGCGATGATTGGCTGCAAGACATGGTACAATCGCGAGTCTCGTGGATGTGACAAGCGCAAACAGGAACTACACTTAGCCGTCGAAAGCTGGCATTTGTCATACCCAACAACATGGGAAATCATTCGGCAATCATATCCAGCAGAAGTCCCTCTTAGTGTGGACATGGGCTATGTTGGAACCACTGGCCAATTCGTGTCTGCATCTGTTGTCAAGGCGGCAGAAAATTCGCGAGGCTTGGCCTTAGATTACTACAAGAGTTACCTGCATTTGAACAAGACAATTTTTTGCCTTCCCTCTGATTTATCCACCAATTGGGTAATCTATACTGGTAATGTGTTTTATTTATGTTTAGCACGAAATCCAGCATGCTAGCTGGAGTTAGCTTTGCTGTAGCAAAATGTATCGGGGGCAGATTGGATGCAGACGCTGTGCTCTATCATGTCGAGCTGGGTTTGGAGCCCCCCTCTATGTATGAATGTATAATCATGTATATATGTCGGTTTGTTTCAGAGGGTCGGAGGGGTTAGATTGCAATTGGGGCTTTGGCACGACCTTTTTCCGATGTTGGCTGAAAATGGTCGTACCTGGTTTGTGGTTTGGTTCTCAGAGTTGACTGGCAGCCCTGAAATTGGTTAATGTGACCATGAAAACATGTCTACACAATACATCCGCCTTTCAGTGTTTGGTAGAGTTAGTGAAATTCTCGCTACAGCATCATACTCGGCTATCACTTTGCGAGTATTCTATACGCGATTCGCTGCTTCGGTTTCGCGTCAATAAGCTGGGATTTCTTACAAGTAGATTGCCCAGAGAACATTGGCGTTTGGGATGGTGATGTAGGATGGTGATTGCGGCTTCTTGGCTGTATCCACAACAATTGGATGCGGATATGAGGACTTTGTAACTCGAAGTAGGAGAGTGGTTTTTCATGGTTTCAATGTATTTGCGGTCATTGATAACTGATTTGGCGCGACATTTTTTCCTCATTTCAAGATCAACAATTGAAACTCAAAAGGTTGCATCACATATTCTCTTGATACATATCCAGCTTTGCCCCCCTTCCTTTTGGCCCGACCCCCTTGAGCAAATCCAAGGTTACAATCCGAAGTGGCATCACGCGGCGGAGTTCTTTGACAACATCTCCGCGGTAAACACCTCGTATTTCGAAATGAATGTCGGGAGAGCAAACTCAACGACAACCTGACCAATTTTGGCTATTGGAAATTGACAGGTGAGGTTGTGTAAAGAAGGGGGCGTGAGGACAATTACTGTTCTGAGATGATAATTTTGAGTCTTGAGGTTGTTGGTGTGGCTATGTTGTTGTACGGATCTCCCCCGAAAAGATTACGAAGAAAACATATGGTTGGATGTACATTTAGTTTGGATCACCTGTTTTCATACGGCCTCAGGTGATGATTCAGGAGTGATCGTTGTCAATAATACTTTCAGAGCTTTTTGTCCTGACGGATACTTTTGGAGAGCCCCAGTGTGCCGCAACGACGGAAACCAGTGCATCATCTACGTGGTCTATGATTGGCAGATTGTGGACGTGATGCAGAGAAGCGCCCTTTTTTCCATTCCCCTTGGAGTTGGCGTCGCAAGTTCATATGAGAACTACTTGGTGGTGCCCAAGATCTACAAATCCACGTTTTACTACTGGACACCAGACGACTCATTTTTGGACTTGAACACGGTGAAGGTCATCTTCCCAGAACACAATGCATATGCTCACCTCCAAGGAGACCTGACTACAGCCAGTAGTCATACACCGCTTGCCAAGCTCACCAGTTATGACTTAGGATACCTCGCTCCTGACCTTTTCAAGCTTCTGGAGAACAGTGCCTTGGATATTGATACCATGAACTTCTTCGGGAAAGTCAAGCAACTGGAGACCAGCCACAAGAGATCGCCTGTAGATGGTTGAAAAACAATGAGGCCAGGTGGCATGAGTGGATCCCTGATCCCACTCTTTGCATCCGTGGCTTTGGGCTCTATGATGCTATCACTGACACTTTTCCTCCAAGCCGGGCATCAGCCAGCAACTGTAAAGCATGCCTACCCCGTACCTATTCCAAGCTTCTCAAAGATAACGGGGGTACCACCCATGTTTGCGAGGAATGTTCTGCAGGTTCGGAACAGCCAGCTGCTGGCGAAGTAAGCTGCAATCCTTGTCCCGCAGGGACTTTCAAAGGAGTGGCCTCCACGGATGGTTGTGCGCCATGTCCAGAAGGCTACTACCAAAACGATGTTGGAGCAGTGACGTGCAAGAAATGCCCAGACGGAACCACCACCATCCTTTTGAGAGCCACGCATCTCTCAGACTGCGTTTGCCTTGCTGGAACCATTGATATCGCTCCTGGAGCCGAGACGCCATGTGTGGAATGCACAGAGGCACTCTCATGCCCAGATGGTAGTACAGTGGAGGGCCTGAAGAATGGTAAGAATAACCACCAGAAGGGGCCAGAAGTCATGCCAGGCTACTTCAGTTGGTTGTCAGCGCCCACAGAGGTCTTCAAATGCCCCAGCACACATTGTCCAGGGGGGAGCTCCGGAGACTTGCGAAGGTGGCAGATTAGGTCCAACATGTGCTGAGTGTGCAGTTGGGATGTACTGGGCCGAGGATAAATGTCAAACTTGTGAGGTCTCCATGGTAGTCGGCTGGATTGCAGTTCCATGTGCCGTGTTGCTAGCGATGGTTGTCGCCTACTACGTCTCAGAGGATGGTTACAAAGCAAAGGCTGCACTTCGTGAGTGCGCAAGCATTGGTGGCGACATGATGCTGGCCTTTGTGCAAAATTTGGGCATCCTCAGCGTCGTGTCAGTTCCATGGCCTGCATCCTTGAAAAATCTCTTTGAATGGTCTTCGCTCTTCGTGTTGAATCTGCAATCTTTAGGCCTCAACTGTGCTTCAAGTCGTGGGACGCATCAATATGTCATGTCTTCCATGTTTTTCATCATTGTCGTGACGGTCTTGCCTATCTTGGGTTATGCAACGAGGACTTGCTCCTGCATGAGACGTCGTGGATGGAGTTGGAAGTTTTACAGAATTATTTGTGTCACTGGAAAATTTCTACAGTCTGGCTTCACGACAATGTGCAACAGTGGTTTGATTCCCTTCATGTGCATCTTGGTGTTTGTTTAGCAGTTTCTTGGTTGCTTTTTGCTTTGTGAGGACTAGACTGACGAGAACAACCTTGTCAACTCCGGTGTTACTGGTGATTGAATCCGGCGAAGCAAAAGCAAAGACAACAAAAACCCAAAAGCAGTTGCAGTTAGAGCAACAAGGACAACATTTGACAACATTTGACACCATTTGACGACGACGACGACGACGACGACGACAACAACTTGACAACAACAACAACAACAACAACAACAACAACGAAATAAACAAAGTAAACAACCGGATAGCACAAAAAACACCATCCAAACTGCTATAGAATGCCAAGGCATGCGACATCCCAACGGTTATCGTAGCATCTTGAAGTACTCCAACACTTTCTGCGGCAGCGCAGAGCATGGGACGATGCAACTCTTCGGCGTTTTGGTGCTTGTCTTGAGCCGCACTTCATCCTTTGCTGGGCAAGTTGGCTCCAACATGGTCCTTGGCGTCACCTGAACGAATTCGAGGAATTGGATTCTTCATTGGCAACTTTCGACCTTCGACATGGTGGTTCGGTTTGATCATTTTGGCAAGGGGACCACTCTTGTCTTTGTCAGTAGTGTGGGCTCCCGACGTGCCAGGCATCCAACTTGCTTTGATGCTCTGTGTGTTGCTCGTCTCCTTTGCGTGGCAACTCTGGTTCCTGCCCTGGAAGGCGCCTTTGCTCAACTTCGTGGATGCCGTTTCCACCGGTTTGTTCCTGATTCTGCTCGCCATCTCCTTGCACTTGGAATCGGCAGATGATGACTCCCTGTCCTTTTTGGACTCCCTTGGGACTGGCGTGTACTTTCTGAGCCTTGGGATCATCGCCTGCGCTAGCCTTTTGGCCCTGGTGTTGATGCTATGGCAGCGCTGTAGCTCGAAACGCCAGCTAATACCAAGTATTGTGAACTTGGGTGTGGTGAGAGAACCAGCGGACATCATAAAAACTCTCATGACAGTCGATACGAACTTGGAATCCAAGGAAGACTGGGAGAAAGAAGCTCTCCTGAAAAAGATGTCCTTATCACTTTCAACTTATGACCTTAACCTTGTGGGGAAAGCCTTGGACATTTTGATCACAGATCTTGAGCTGGGCAAAGTCTGTAGATCGCGGATAATTGTGGGCCGAGTCGCAGACACGCGCACACTGAGCCAACTGAGCGAAAGAGATACCGAAAGAGATACCGAAAGGAGTTCAACAAAGGATGCAGCAGATTCGGCTTCAGACCTTGACAGGCTTGACGGTCGGCTTGACGTTGTCCAAGACGCCAACTCTGATGGCCCCGAGCACGACGAGAACCATTCCCATCATGACATGTCCATGGAACGCAGTAGAACCTGCGAATCAGATGAAACTTGCGAACATGTTTTTTAGATTTTGGCCATCCGTGGCCCCATCCATGTCAGAGACATGTGAAATGTAGAACAACTGCATTTGCAACTGCTATGCCCTTCAGTTGGCATTAGCGGGTGGTTGCATGGTTAGCTCACTGCACCGCTGCCGTTGTTTCTTTGATTTTCTGCCGCTTCATGCTTTTTCCGTTGCATGATTCAGCCTTTCCGCACAGTTTCACTTAGACTTAGGCACGGTATATAAAGTTACGTAATTACTTAGTTTTGCAGTTTGTACAGGACAGGGCAAGTTCCAATCTCTTGACCATAGCTTGAAGTAGGCGCTTGCGACTCAAACGGCCGACGTTGAGATGTCGTAGCAACTTGCCAGGTGAGTCTCAGGATCCTCTGTGAACTGTTGCAAGCATTGTCACGTAGGGGCGGATGATCATACCCCTTTGGAAGCACCAAGCCCAAACAGCAATCCAGATCAATCCAGCCAAGTTGTTTGCGCTCCAGGTCCGCCGTTCTGTGGCAGGGGCACAGAGGCGGAGAAGCACATGTCACAAGTGTAACAAGTGTACAGGGACATCCTGCAATCTGATACTGTTGAAATCGCTTTTTCGCTGCACCGGTCTTTACAGTGACGTCCTGTGACGTCCTGCTTCAAGTGAGCCGTATTTTTCTCAGGGACAAGTCCTGACATGTCGAGGCGGCGCAGATCGAGCTTGATCCGGGCAGCAGAAGTCTTGGAGGCCCGTCATAGGTCACATCCCTTAACCGCCTTAACCGCCTTAACCATCCTTAACCGTTACCCCGTTACCCTTACCGTGACCTGCTTGTGACAATTTCGTGGAATCTTCAGGACTCTTCCACCAAGCTCCCATGTCAAGCTAAAAGCCAGGTGGCAGGTGTGGGCATTGGACAGCAACAAGCTCAAATTGAGGCAAAGAATGGCAAAGAGCTTCTGCAACTGATCTCAGCACACATTTGAAACTCAGATGTATCAAACAGGTTTGCTAGACTAGAAAGGTACATCATCAGTGTGTTTCATGTGCTGGCGTCATCTCCTGTTCTCAGATGATAGGTCTAGTTCATGTAGGAGTTTCTGAAGGTTCTGAAGTGATTGAAGTATTTTGATTTCAATTGGCAGATAATTGGCAGATATTGGCAGGTTGAAGAGCACTTGGATCTTGTCCAGCGTGCAGTGGAGATAGCAACACGTCGACACCGCCAGACGGGATGCCTGGATTGGCCATGGGCCAGGGCGAAGCACTGGAGAAGTGGAAGCGGGTGCCGGGAGATATTTTTTTTGTAGTTTTCGATTTTTTTTTAATTGTTTTTATAATATGTTAAGTTTTGTTCATTTTTCTTCGATTTCCTCATGATCTTATGATCTCATGTCATCTCATGTAATCTCCTGTATGTTCATGATTTTACTGTAACAATCTGTAATAATAGTAATAATATGTATTTAATGTTTTTTTTAAATAAAATACTATATTGATATCTTATATGTTCATATCTTAAACATATTTTTCATATTTTTCAATCTATTTTCCCATAAAGGTTCATAAAGGTTTATTATGATGATCATCTATAAATTTATATAATAGATGACAAGTAGATCGATTTTCCCGGCAGCCTGAGAAGCCAGGAGCATTCTCGAGGCCATGGCCCAGATTTCCGTCATCGATGAAGAGGTTTCCAGTCAACACACGGTTGAGTCACGGTTGAGTCAAGTAGCTCCCAGAAATTCCCAGGTGATCTTGAGATGAAACCTAGATCTGAAAACATCAGAAACCATGATAATCATGATATATTGGGAAAAGGTTGGAAAAGGGTGGAAGAATTATGAAGAATTCTAAGAAACTTGTGGATCTCTGGAGTCCACATGCTTCGCGGTTGCATCGTATCCGGTGCTGACGGTTGCAGGACGAGCCAGAGCCAATGCCAGAAGCAGAGCCGGAATCTGGAGGCTTGCAGAGTGTAGAAACGGAAAGCATAAACATATCATGGATATTTCATGGATAAGAAGACAAAAAACTTGAATGAACGCAAATGAGCATTTTCGATGAAAAAGAGTGGCTCAAACTATGCAGATCTTGGGAGATATTAGCAGCTGTTATCATATTACTGTTGTGTTACTGTAATATTTTATATTATTTGTATGAATATCAGATAGATTCAGATAGTATTAGTATTAGTATTAGATAGTATTAGATAGTATTAGACTAGATAGTATTAGATAGTATTATAGATAGTATTAGTGTCGAAACGGGCACATTCAGCACTGCCATCCGCTCACAGCCATTAGGCTCCGCCAGGTGTGTAGGAAAATGGGGCGCTGATGCTTTTCTAGTGGTAGACGGAGCTTCTGGTGGATCTGGAGGCTGTGGTTGTCGAGGGGATCCTGTTTGTGAAGGTGGTGGGTGGCTTGGGCCTGTGGTGGACACCTGGCGGTGCCTATGCCCACCTTTCAGGCAATGTACACGGGCATGCAGGCTGACTATGCAGCTGCGGATGAGACGAGCGGGAGTTTGTCAACCCCGCCTCGGCGGACGGGGGCGTCACAGCCTCCAAGTAGTGGTGATCGGCCGAGCATGGGCTCGGGGCGAGGCAAAGGTCGTGGTGGTGAAGGTCCTGAGAGGTATGTGATGGCTTCTGAAGGAAGCTCAGGTGCTGAACGTAGTGAAGGAGTGGCTGAGAGCAGTTGGGAATGGGAGACCGACTCTTCGTGGTGGAGCCCTTCCGGAAGGTATGAAAACTGGACTTGGGTGGGTCGCCATAGCCACTCAGACCGGTCAAGTTATGGCGGTGCTTACTATGCCAACTGGGATTGGGAGCGACCTTCCGACCCTTGGTGGGATTGGTACAATGATCGACGTCATCGAGATCGTTCGGGAGTATCTCATGGCAGCGATCATGGAGATCGTGAACAACCCGATCATAGAGGTTGGCGTGGTGATCCTTGGAATGATTTGGAGGTGACCTCGCCGAAGTCAATGCCAGCTGCGCGTGATGTCAGCGGGGCCTTGCCGTCTGGTGAGATGAGTTCTGTGGGTCAGCAGAAGGAGAACAAGGTGGCAGGTGATCACCGCAACTCAAAAATTTCTTCTTCGTACCCGCCCATTTTTCGAGCGAAGCCTGGGGAGTCTTTCAAGGAATGGAAGCGATCAGTGGGCTTCTGGTTGGGCGGTGAAGCTGGTTCTCTTCCTGCAGAGCTCATTGGTCCGAGGCTGATGGTGCAATTGAGGGACAGAGCGGGTCAGTTGGTGCACCATCTGAGCAATGAAGATGTCAACAAGGCCAATGGCATGCAATTGGTGATGGAGACCCTGGAGAAGAGCCCATTGATCCGGCAACTCGACAAGCACAAGGTCGACATGCATCGCAAGCGCCTGATGTCCTTGCGAAGGTTGCCACAAGAAAGTTTGGAGTCCTACGTAACCAGAGGTCAGCTCTATCGCACTCAGTTGGTTGCCCTGGATGATGCGATGCAGATGGGTGAATGTTTTTTCACTGGGCATTTGCTGGATGGAGCGCGGCTCTCGCGCAAGGACAAGGTGATGATTAAAACGAGAGCTGGCAGCGATCGCGAGGTGGACGTGACCAACGCCATGGTAGAGCTGGCCCCGGAGTTGGAAGGAGAGCATGGCTTTCCAATCGGCAATTCTGAGCCGAATGCCGCTGCACGCCAAGGCGAGGAGTTTCTCATTCAGCGCCCTGAGAGCTCTCGCTTTGGCAAGAAGGATGTCAACGCTGTCGAGCTCGACCCCTTTGCTGAGGAGAATGTCGAGTTGGATGATGACGCTTCGATGATGCTGGAAGAGTTTGACCCTCCAGAACTGGTGCAAGCGGCCAATGAGGCCTTTGCGTTGCAGCACAAGGCCAAGCAGCGCATCATGGAGGTGCGAAAGTTGAGACAATACTATCGTCGGCCAGATCGTCCTGAGCAAGAAGAACGCCGACGAGCTTTGCAGGAGAAAATGCGCACTTCGCCATGTCACCGCTGCGGTGAAATTGGCCATTGGAGCCGAGAATGTCCCCAGCGAAACAATGCTGTGGCAGCCACCGCTGTGAAAGGAAGCCCTTCGGCAAAGACTGCTGAGGATGAGTGGTCGGCTTTGGTGTCACTTTGTCATCAACAGCCAAGTGTGGCATCGTCCGCTTCGGTGGCATACAAGGAGCGTTTTGTCGGGGTGATCAATCACGTTGGGGGCATAGCTCATGAAACGATGTGGTGTCAGCAGGAACTTCGTTTACATGTTATTTTAGATTTGGGATGTGTGAAATCGGTGGTTGGTTTGAGCTGGATGAATCAGTTGGTGAAAGAGTGGAAAAGTAAGAATAGATGGTTTGTGGTGCTCCCCGAGCAAGAGAAGTTCCAATTTGGGAATGGCGAAACGCTGACTAGCCGATTCAGAGTCCAATTTGAATGCATGGTTGGAGGTTGTCACATCGTTTTGGCCATGTCAGTGGTTCCTGGAAAGTGTCCTCCTCTCCTATCTCGTCATGCATGTTCTCAATTGGGTTTGAAGATCGATTGTGCTGCACATACATTTAGCTCTACTCGCATGGGCATCAAAACATATGGATTGGCACAAGCATCAAATGGTCACTATTTGCTGCCCGTCTTCAACTTTGATGACACATCTTTCAGATCTTCCTTCAGATTTTTCCTTGATGCAAGGTCAAGAGGCTCAGGTGATCAAGAAGGTCATGCCCATGCCTGAAGTCGTTGATTCTCCGGCAGCTGTCATGTTCGAGCTTTCGAATGACCGTTCAATTCGTTCTTCAAACCCGGCGCCCACTTCGGCCCTTGCAGATGGCGACGGTGCCTGCGGCAGCCAAGGCGAAGTCCTCCGCAGACAAGCCAGTGGACGAACCGAAGGTCGTGATTTGTCGCCTTTGCGGGGATCCAGGTCACCGAGCCAAAGAATGTCACATGTTGGAGCAATTGGTGAGCGAGACGGAAGAGGAGGAGATGAAGGTCGATCAGGGCTATTTGGAGCGAACTCGGAAGAAGATTCATTCTCGCCGCTCCTCTCGAGCTGCACCCCAACCCAAGAGCCCGAGGACGAGCACCGAGCAGCATTCGACTTCGGAGTGGGAGCTCATGCAGGGGCTTACCAAGGACGAGATCGCCCTGATCACCAAGCGCAGGGAGAAGGCGGCCGTCACCCGATCCAAGCAGCAGGCCAATCGAGCCCTCACGGGCGAGCAGGCGAACTTCCCGAGCCTCTCTCACATGTGGTCTCAGGAGGTAGCATTGAACATGGTGTTTGCAATGGGCTCTCGCATGAGGACTTTCCTATGGAAGAAGCTCCTTTGGCAGCTGAGGGTGAAGTCCGCCGTGGATCGCATTCAGGGTGCCCGCTGGAAGCGCAACCCACGATGGTTAGCAATGTTGCTGTCCAAGGAAGTGGGTGCGATCTGGGGTCATTACGGAGCACTTCGTCAGAAGTTGAACAACCCGGACATTCTGTACCTGATGTGACAAGGGAGAAGCAGCTCTTGCTCCAGCGTGGAATGGTGCAAAGTCTGAAAAAGGGCGTGGGAAAAGGGTTGAATAGAGGCCGCAGAATCACCAGTACGGCCGCAATGGAAGGCCGTTTTGTGGTGGTCGAGATCTATGCAGGCGTGGCCAATCTCACCAAGGTTGCAATGAAGGAGCTGGGCACCACATGGTCCGCTTTGGATCCCATTGACATCATCTATGGCCATGACTTGAAGAAGAAGGCCACAAGAGATGAAGTTTGGGAGCTGCTCTACAAGACTGAGCCGGACCTGGTGACGCTTTCTATGCCCTGCGGCCCATGGTGTCAATGGATGAACATGTGCGATCCGGACGAAGTGGCCGACCGTCGCACTTTGGATATGCCCCTTTGGCGCTTTGCTCGAGACGTCTGGGACTTTCAGACGAAACGTGGAGCTCTTGCCATGACGGAGAACCCCTTCGGCAGTGTGGGCCTGAAGTTGAGCTTCATGGAAAAGCGCCCCCAATTGAATCGCGCCAAGGTTGCCCAGTGCATGTTCGGCCTCAAGGATGTGATCTCGCACAAGCCCCATCGTAAGCTCACTGCCTTGGATGCGAATGATCCTGACTTTGCCCGACTTTTGGAAGAAGGAGGACAATGCCTTCATCATCCTGAAGAACATCAGATCTTGGAAGGCAAAGTTCAGGTGGATGGGAGATGGGTGAACCGAACTTCCTTGGCAGGCATTTGGCCCGTTCAGCTCTGTCGGCACATCTTGAGAGCGGCTTGGAAAGCCTTGACAAAGATCGAGAAGATCCCGCCTTGGTCCTTGGCTGATCCTGTGGGGGAGAGCAAGCTTTGGGAAGGGCATGAGATAAATGCGGTGTCCTCCGGTCTCGTACCCGAGGAGAATTTGCGACAGGAGCTTCAGAGCTTGGGAGCTGGTGGCGATCGCTATGGCTACATCACTTTTGAAGGAGAAGGCCAACAAGTTCCACGTCGGATTCGTTCGGCGGTGGCCCATCTCCATGCTGCATTGGGTCACCTGGCAAATGACCGATTGGTCAGAATGCTGATGCTGAGCGGCGCTGGTGAAGCTATCCTCAAGGCAGCTCGCAATCTTCGTTGCCAGGTGTGCGCGATGGTACAGCCGCCTCGTGATGCTCCCCAAGTGGCTTACAATAAGCCGTCCAACTTCAATGGACGCATCTCGGGCGACACCTTTTTCATCTGGGATTGCAAGGGAAAGAAGTACGGTGTGGTGCATTTCCTGGACGAGCTCACGGACTATCATGTGGCAGATTGCACAAATGTGGTGGACTCTACGTTTGCGGCTGGAGTTCTGCGCGACCAATGGTATGGTGTCTTTGGCCCTCCGGATGTGATTGTCACGGATGGCGGCATGGAGTTTGCCGGAGCGGTGGAAGTCCTCAACGACCTGATGGGTGTGGTTCATGACACAATACCTGAAGGAGCCAAATGGCGACTGGGGCATGCGGAACGTCATGGGAGCATCCTCAAACTCATGTTGCTGAAGATGCTCAAGGGCCTCAATTTGGAGGGATTGGATGACATGCGTATGGCCGTCACGGCAGCCTGCTCTTCCAAGAATCGCCTGTGCAATCATGGCGGAGTGTCGCCTCTTCAGGCAGTGACTGGCCGAAACGCATTGATCCCAGCTTCGCTGATGACGCAGATCTGCTCTGGCAAGATGAAGTTCGTGCTCAACCAGGACCTGGATCGAGAAGAATGTCTTCGCCGAGCTGAACGCATCCGTCATGGGGCCATTGAGAGCTTTCATTGGCTCGACTCTCACACCACCTTGCGTAGGGCATTGGCAAGCAAGTCACGACCTCCTCGCTTGGAGATGCTGAAGAAGGGTGCGGTGGTCTACATCTATGATCCACCTGCCAATCGCAGAGGCCTTGCCCGGCGGTTGCAGGACAATGTCAGCTGGCATGGCCCGGCCACTGTGGTGTGTGTGGAAAGGGATCGACGCCTTCCAGGTCGCATTTGGGTGCGTCTTCGCGGCCGAGTCAAGTCTGTGCCACTGGAAAAGATCCGGCTTGCGACAAATGAGGAGCTGGTGAGCGGACAGTTCATCAATGAGGCACTTCACGAATTGCACGACGAGCTCACCTCTGGAAAGCTGCGTGCAACGGAGGTGGACATGCCAATGTTGGAAGATGAGACTCCAGAAGTGCCTCCGGAACTGAAGGCGATCCCCGAAGAGGACTCTTCGTCTTCTTCGGACTCTGGAAGCTCCAAGGAAGGCGCAATGGATGAAGACCATGAGACTGATCGCATGCGGCTGGAGAAGCGGCTTTTGGATGATGTGCCATTGCAGTTCCGAGCCGACAGGGCTTCCTCTTCAGCCGCTCAGTCTCCAGAGAGCCAAGACCGGGAGCCACATGCGCTAGCTCCCTTTTCACAAAAAGCAGCGCCTCTTTGAGAACCTGAGCAAGTCGTTGTCTCCGCCCACGCCCATTCAAGAAGCTCGAGTTCGGGGACAATTGGAAAGAGCCTTTGAGCAGCTCAAGACTGCGCGCCGCACATTGAACAATGCTCGCCCTCGACCCAAGGCTGCTGCGAAAGAGGTGACCCGTCGTCGGGCTCCGCAGACTCCTATTGCGGCTGTGCATAGTCCAACAGAAGAGGAGCCTGCTCCAGAGCAAGAAGGACGTGAAGATGTGCTGCTGGTCTCTACTCCGATTCAGGAGCCAATTGAAGATTTGACAACGAGCCCATGGTGCTCCCTGCAGGCTGGCCTCACAAAGGTGGAAATGCCGTCAGAGAGCAGCAGTGAAGACTCAAGTATCACCTTTCCTGACGGCCCCTATGTCCCTGACGAGGTCGGCACTTTTGCGGATGAGCGCCTTGCCTCTTACCTGAACCGCATCCGCTCTGACGAGAACGAGACTTTGGAGCTCGAGAAGGTGATTGAAAACATCGAGACCGGCCAGACTGAATATGGCACGTATGTCACAGAGGTGTTGCAGCAGCACGTTTTGTGGACGTCAAATGAAGTGCTCGCTGGCCAAGACATGCCCGACCGCCTCAAGAAGAACCTGGAGGAGGAGCAGAAGGTCTTGGACCAAGCCAACTTGATCACTGGGAAGGAGCGTGTCGAGATGGCTTGGAATCAATTGGATGATAGTTGGCGCCAAGCCTTTGTGAATCCCATCGTGAAGGGCTTCAAGGTGTATTTTGATCATCAAGCTCTTGCTGGAGTACTTGAAGGTCAATGGGTGGATCCTCAGCGAATTTTGCCTTCAAGGTTGGTGCTCACCAACAAGGGCGGCCCAACACTGGAAGAGGCAGAGCTCAAGGCCAGATGGGTCTTTGGGGGTCATCGCGATCCTGATGCCGGAAAGTATCCCACTTCAAGCCCAACGGTGTCATTGGTGGGTCACAACTTGCTGAACTTTGTGGCGGTGCAAAAGGGCTGGTGTGTATCCTATGAGGATGTCTCAGCGGCTTTTCTTCAGGGACAAGGTCTTCCTGCCGAACGCGGGATCTATGTGAAGATCCCCCGAGGCTATCCCGAAGAAGCTTTAGCTGAACTACAAAAACTCATTGGCCCTGGCATGCGCTCTGATCTGGTGCGCCTCTTGAAAGGGGGGTTGGGTCCGCCAGAATCCCCTCGACTGTGGTACTTGGAGTACAAGAATACTTTGCTCAGCTTGGGCGGTCGTGAACTCAAACTTCTACCTGGTTTCTTTGTCTTTGACGATGAAGAGGGCAACCTCATTGGAATGGCCTGCATACATGTTGATGACACCCGCTATGCAGGATCTCCCGCTGCTGACAAGATTTGGGATGCCCTTCATCAAAGACTGAACTTTGGAAAGAAGCGATTGGCGACTGACGGATGGACCAAGTTTTGTGGTCGTTTTGAACGTCAGGATCCGGCCACTCTGGAATTCTTTTACTCCATGGATGAGTATAACCTGAACATCCCCTTTGTCGAGGAGCGTTCAAAGACCGATTTGGAGCGACCTCTGACTCCCTTGGAACGCAAGGCCATCAGTTCGGTGATTGGGCAGTTGGCCTGGTCTGCGAGGCAGTGCAGACCCGATCTGAGCTTCGGGTGCTCTCATGTCCTTCAGCTGGCGGGCCAACAAGATCCTTTAGCGCTTCAGTGGCTCAATAAGGTGGTGAAGCGCGCCCGCATGCTGATGGAGATGCCGATCCGTCATTTGGGCTGCGAGCTGGATGAGGTTGTCTTCTTGGCCGTGAGCGACGCCGCCTATGCTTCGCAGCCTGGTGGAGGAAGTCAAGGCGGACTGATGGTGGGGATCGCCAATCCTTTGATCCAGGTGGGCAGCTCCAAGGTGGCCTTTTTGGAGTGCCAGTCATCCCGTCTTCAACGAGTGGTTCGCTGCTCCATGTCAGCGGAGCTGTCAATGGCAGCAACAGCATATGAACACTGTGACTATTTGAGGGCCGTTTTTGCTGAGGTGATGCGACCTCAGTTCCGGCTGTCGCAGTGGAAATTCCACGCCAGTCACTGGCGCAACATTTTGGTGATGGATGCCAAGGTGGCCTATGACGCCCTCAACAGCGAGACTGCCCCCACGGACAGGAAGCTGATCGTGGACATTGCAGTTCTTCGCGAAGCCTTGGAGGACACGGCGGAGAGCGGGTTTGTGAGGTGGGTTCCAGGCAAGGAGATCCCCTCGGATGGCCTTACAAAGTGGTACGGCAATGGAGCGCTGGAGAGAGTGCTTTGTGAAGGCCGTTGGTCTCTGATGGACACGGAGACGGCTGCAGAACTTCGCCGACAAGTGGCAGTTCGCAAACGCCGTTGTAAAAAGGCCAAGTTGTAGCAGTGCTGAGACCAAGGGGGTTTTGTGTCGAAACGGGCACATTCAGCACTGCCATCCGCTCACAGCCATTAGGCTCCGCCAGGTGTGTAGGAAAATGGGGCGCTGATGCTTTTCTAGTATTAGATAGTATTAGATATATAGTATTAGATAGTGTTAGATAGTATTAGACTAGATAGTATTAGATAGTATTA